ACTTTTATGAGGGTGGGTGGGGGTGGGTGGCTTCTTTTTTTGTTTGTTTGTCTAAAATATTTTTTCCAGTTTTCTTGGCAATAATTGATGTATTAATTGTATTACTTTAAGCTGTACAGTGTAATGATTTGATTATGTATATCTATTGGGAAATGATTACCACAATAAATTTAGTTAACTGTCACCTCACATAGTTACACATTTTTTTCTTGTGATGAGAACTTTTTTTTAAGATCTACTCTTTTAGCAACTTTCAATGTACAACACAGTATTAACTATAGTTACTATGCTATATATTATATCCCCAGAACTTATGAATCTTGTAACTGGAAGCTTGTACGTTTCTACCACCATTACCCATTTCCCATAGCCCCTACCCCCACCGCTGAAAACACCAGTCTGTACTCTGTTTCTGTGACTTTGGTGTGGTTCTTTTTTAGAATCCACATATAAGTGAGATCATATGGTATTTGTCTTTCTGACTTATTTCACTTAGTACAATGCCATTAAGGTCCATCCATGTTGTCGCAAATGACAGGATTTTCTTTTCATGGCTGAGTAATATTCCATTGTGTGTATTTTCTTTATCCATCTATCCGTCGGTGGACATTTAGATTATTTTCCATATCTTGGCTGTTGTAAATAATGTTACAATGAATATGAGGGTGCGTAAACCTTTTTGAATTAGTGTTTTTGTTTTCTTTGGATAAGCACGTGGAATCCTTGATCATACGGTAGTTCCATATTTAATTTTTTGAGGAACCTCCATACTGTTTTCCACAGGGGCTGCACCAATTTACATTCCCACCAACAGTGCAGGAGTGTTCTCTTTTTTCCACACCCTCACTGCTTGTTGTTTCTTGTCTTTTTGATGATAGCTGTTCTAACTGATGTGAGGTGATATCTCATTGCGGGTTTGATTCACATTTCCCTGATTATTAGTGATGTGGAGCATCTTTTCATGTACCTGTCGGCCATTTGTTTGTCTTCTTTGGAAAAATGTGTATTCAGCTTCTCTGCACATTTTTTTTCTATTGAGTTGCATGAGTTCTTTATATGTTGTATATTAACCTGGATGGTTTCTTTTATCCTTAAAAGAGGATAAAAGAGAAGGGTACAGGGAGGATGGGTGGAGGAGAGTGGTTAAAGATTCAAATGGGCACCAACAAAACTGGGTAGAGGAGCTTATTAGCAAGACTTGAAAAAAATCAGGAATAATTTCAGTCCTTGTGGACAGCCAGGCAGCCAAGGTTGCAGCAGGAGTCTGCAAGGTTGTTGGCTCACCCGTGATCATTCTCTTGGGAGTACTTTGGTAGCCTTACCACTAAGTAGAAGTCCTCCTGATTTCTTCTAGTTGATGCAGGAGTGTGCTCTCAGTTTCTCAAGTTTTCTTGGTTTTCTTCAAAGGCAAACAGCAATGTAATAATGAATATCTACTTCTCAATCCTCACCTCCTCTCAGATGATTTCGGAATTTCCTCCAGAACACAGTTATTAGAAAGCACATAAATGCTAAATTTACCACTATTACAAGGAAAATCTTTCCCAGTCAGAGAAGTTACTTCTAACTCTCTCCTAATACAGTTTTACTCTATTTGCCAGCAATAACCGAATTTGATTGTTAGGTAGCATTCTTATTGTTAACCATTCTCTATTAAAAAGATTTCCTTGTCAAGAGATGAAAATCCTGCCCAGCTGGGTGTGGCTCAGAGGTTGAGCGTTGACCTAGGATCCAGGCGATAGGGGTTCGATTCCCGGTCAGGGCACATGCCCGGGTTGTGGGCTCGATCAATGACTCTCTCATCATTGATGTTTCTCTCTCTCCCTCTACTTTCCTCTCTCTGAAATCTATAAAGATATATATATATATATTTTTAAAAATCTATTTAAAAAAAAGATGAAAATCCTTTTAAAAAAACAACAAAATTTCACCAAAGCTATAACCATTTAACATTATTTCTAAAGCTTTATC